AAACATGATAAAAGGAGGCAGTAAAACAAATGAAACAGTTAGACACCAACATCAAATCGGTGATATATGTTGGCGGTAATCCTTTCACTAATTTGTATACTAACAGAAGGATTTTAAAGTACATTTTTTAAAGTATGAGGTCTGATGAATCTGCCCTTTGTAGACTTCTTGGTTCTGTCTGAGTTTCTTTTTGAGCTTTCAGTTTTACTATGATTTATGTTATTCTGTTTTTTCTTGGTCATTGGTTTTAAATCCATTTTGTGTTACATTTAAGCAGTGGTATTTTTTGAGTTGCTCTTTGCTGCCCCCTTGTGCCAGTCTCCTTTTTCCCTAGCTCCCTTCTAGTGGCTTCTATCCACACCTGCTCCCTATCAGCTGATTAACTGCTTCTTTGTTCCGTTTTCCCCTATATATACCACCTGTGCGGTTCCCGGTGGCTTGATTCTCTTCATTGCGTTGCTCGTCATGTGTGTTTCTCCCTGGCATCTCCTGGTTTTGGTTTCTCGCTTATTGTTCCTGGATTTGTGCTTTTGTTACAATCTAAATTAAGTCGGCAAGAACTTATCTCTGCCCCCTTATCTCTACATTTGGGTCCTCAACTAACTTCCACCAAACTGACATAGGAGGCTAATGTGCTCTACTTTCTTAGTTCTAGTGAGAACACAGGCAGTCCTGTATCAGCTGCAACAGTCTGACTGACTTTTCAGGCAAACCTAAGACACTGTTGCAGTAATCAAATCTATTTAATATAAATGCATGAATGAGTAGTCTATATCCTACTTGGAGTTTTGTCCTTTAATCCAGGAAATGTTCCTAAGGTGATAAAAGGCTGACTTAGTAACTGCATTTAAGTTTAATAAAAATCAACTGATCAACAGTGTCAAATACTGCATTGAAGTCCAGTAATACCAGAATTGTTGTTCTTAAAATCAGCTAACTCTAAAGCAGGGAAAAGTCTTCTTAATAAAACCTGTGGGTTAAGACAGCAGGAAGAGGAACTTAGCTGCTGAAGAATTTATTCTAAACTTTTGCAATTTATCTGGCAGAATTGGGGCATTTTAAAAGCTTGTTCTAATTGGAGAATATGTTAAGACTAAAGTACATATTCTATTTGACAGCACCCCTTTGTTCCACTCAAGTGAAGCACTTGACCAACTGCGAAATACAGATTTGACTTCACAAAGCCTCAGAAGCATTAAAAGTGTTTCCAGTGTTTAGTTTTCGGTACATCTATTTTGAATTTATAGCCCCCCCCGCTGGAGAAAACTCCCCTGCCGCCTGTTATTTTGAATCTTAACTAATCAGGTCCAAAGTGAAGAGCAGGGGTCTCCACATTGAGTTTTGTAGCTCTGTA